TTGTTGTTCCACATGAATTTTAGGATTTTTTTTCTAATTCATGAAAAAATGCCATTGAAATTTTGTTAGGGATTATATTGACTCTGTAGTTCATTTTGGGAAGTATGGACATTTTAGCAACATCAATTCTTCCAATCATGAACATGGGATATCTTTCCACTTATTTGTGTCTTCTTCAATTTATTTTATAACTGTATTGTAGTTTTGGTGTACAGATCTTTTATTTCTTTGATTAAGTTCATGCCTAAGTATTTCATTTTATTTTTGGTACTATTGTACATGTACATGAGTCTGTTTTCTTAATTTCTTTTTGGATCATTTGTTATTAGCATGTAGAAACACAACTGATTTTTGTAGTTGATTGTGTATCTGAAAACTTTATAAAATTCAGTTATTAGTTTTAACAGTTCTTGGGTGGAATCTTTAGGGTTTTCTACATATAAGATTATGCCTTAGAGGAACAGAGACAAAATAGGGTTTTTTTTTCTTTTTGATTTATATGCTTTTAATTTTTTTCTGACCAAATTCCAAATTCCTATGGCTAGGACTTCCAGTACTATTAATATTTTGAATGGAAGTGGCCAGAATAGGCATCCTTGTCTTGTTCCTTATTCAGAGGAAAAGCTTTCAGCTTTATACCTTTGAGTATGATGTTAGCTGTGTACTTGTCATATATGGCTTTAATTATGTTGTGGTGTATTCCTTCTATCCCTAATTTTTGAGAGTTTTTACCACGAAGGGATGTTGAATTTTGTCAAATACTCTCTCTGCATCCATTGAGATAATAATATGATTTTATCCTTCATTCTGTTAATACAGCATATCACATTTATTGATTTGCATGTGTTGAACCATCCCTGCATCCCAGGGGTAAATCTCACTTGATCATGGTGTATGATCCTTCCAATGTGTAGTTGAATTTGGTTTGCTAGTATTTTCTTGAGGACGTCTGCATCTATGTTCATTGGGGATATTAGTCTGAAATTTGCTTTTCTTGTAGTGTCTTTGTCTAGTTTTGAGATCATGCTAATGCTGGCATTGTAAAATGAGTTTGGAAGTATTCCCTTCTCTTCAATTTTTTGGAAGAGTTTAAGAAAAATCAACACGAATTCTTCAAATGTGTGTTAGAACTCCCCAGGAAAGCTTTAAGGTCCTGTACTTTTCTTTTTTCAGAGGGATTTCATTACAGATACAACCTCCTTATTCATTATTGTTGTGTTCAGATTTCCTATTTCTTCATGATCCAGTCTTGAAAGGTTGTACAGACATACCTTGGAGATTTTTGTGGGTTTGGTTCCAGATAACTGCAAAAAAGCAAATATCACAATAAAGTAAGTCATACAAATTTTTGGTTTCCCAGTACATATAAAAGTTATGTTCACACAATACTGTAGTCTATTAAGCATGAAGTAGCATTATGTCTAAAAAAAACTATGTACCTTAATTTAAAAATACTTTATTTCCAAAAAATGCTAACAATCATCTGAGCCTTCAGCAGGTCATAATCTTTTTGCTAGTGAAGAGTCTTGCCTCAGTGTTGATGAATGCTGACTAATCAGAGTGGTGGTGGCTGAAAATTGGGGTAGCTGTGGCAATTGCTTAAAATGAAACAACAAGTTTGTCACATCGATTGACTCTTCCTTTCACAAAAGATTTTTCTGTAGCATGCGATAGCATTTTACCCACAGCCAGACTTCTTTCAAAATTAGATTCAATCTTCTCAAACCCTGCTGCTGCTTTATCAACTAAGTTTATGTGATATTCTGAATCCTTTGTTGCCATTTCAACAATGTTCACAGCATCTTCACCAAGAATAGATTACATCTCAAGAAACCAGTTTCTTTGCTTATCCATAATAAGCAACTCCTCATCCATCCAATCCCATTTATCATGAGATTGTAGCAATTCAGTCACATCTTCAGGCTCCACTTCTAATTTTAGCTCTCTTGCTATTTCCGCATATGCAGTGACTTCCTCCACTAAAGTTTTGAATCCCTCAGACACCCATGAGGCTTGGAATCAACTTCTTCTAAACTCCTATTAATGTTGATATTTTGACCTCCTCCCATGAATCATAAATGTTCTTAATAGCATCTAGAATAGTGAATCATTTCCAGAAAGCTTTCAATTACTTTCCCATATCCATCAGAGGAATTACTATCTATGGAAGCTATAGCATTATAAAATGTATTTCTTAAATAAGATTTGAAAGTCAAAATTACCCTTGATCCATGGGATGCAGAATGGAGTTGTGTTAGTAGGCATGAAAACATTAATCTCCTTGTACATCTCCATCAGAGCTCTTAAGTGACTAGGTGCATTGTCAATGAGTGGTAATATTTTGAAAGGCATCTTTTAACCTGAGCAGTAGTTCTCAACAGTGGGCTTAAAATATTCAGTAAACTATGTTATAAACCAATGTGCTGTCATCCAGGCTTTGGTGTTCCATTTATAGGGCACAGGCAGAGTGGATTTAGCATATTTTTTAAGGGCTCTAGGATTTTCAGATTGGGCTATGGGCATTTTTTTCAACTTAGAGTCACTAATTGCATTAGTCCCAAAGAGCCAACTTGCCCTTTGAAGCTTTGAAGCCAGGCATTGATTTCTCCTCTCTAGCTATGAGAGTCCTAGATGGCATCTTCTTTCAATAGAAGGCTATTTCATCTACATTGAAAATCTGTTGTTTATTGTAGCCACCTTCTTTAATTATCTTAGCTAGATTTTCTGGATAACTTGCTTCAGCTTCTACATCAGCAGTTGCTGCTTCACCTTGCACTTTTAGGTTATGCAGATGGCTTCTTTAATTAAACCACATAAATAAACCTTAGCTAGCTTCAAATTTTACTTCTGCAGTTTCTTCATCTCTCTCAGTCTTCATAGAATTGATGAGATTTACAGCCTTTCTCTAGATTAAGCTTTGGCTTAAGGGAATGTTGTGGCTGTTTTTATCTTCTACCCAGACCACTAAAACTTTCTCTATATCAACAATAAGGCTGCTTTGTTTTCTTATCATTTGTGTGTTCACTGAAGTAGCACTTTTAATTTTCTTCAATAACTTTTCCTTTGCATTCACAAGCTAGCTATATGGTGCACGAGTCCTATCTTTCAACCTATCTTGGCTTTTGATGTGCCTTCCTCACTAAGTGTAATCATTTATAGCTTTTGATTTAAAGTAAGAAACATTATTGATGTTCTTTCACCTGAACATCTAGAGGCCATTATAAAGTTATGTCTGTTAGGTCCATTTAGTCTATAGTGCGGTTAAAGTCTGCTGTTTTCTTATTGATTTTCTATATGACTAATCCATTCATTGTTGAAAGTAGGGTTTTGAAGTCCCTTAATATTCTTATATTGTTATCTGTTTTTCCCTCCAGTTCCATTAATGTTTGCTTTATATACTTAGGTGCTCTGATGTTAAGTGCATATATACTTATAATTGTTATATATCCTCATGATGAATTGACTACTTCATCATGATAAAATTACCTTCTTTTCCTCTTGTAACAGTTTTTGACTTAAAGTCTATTTTGTCTGATATAAGTATAGCCACCCTTGCTCTCTTCTGTATAAGTCTGTTATAGTTTGCAAAAAAGTTTTTGATCCCTTTACATTCAGCCTTTGTGTGTCCTTAAAGCTAGGGGAGTATCTTGTAAACAGCATATAGTTGAATCTTGGGTTTTTATCCATTCTTATACTCCATCTTTTATTGGAGAATTTGATCCATTTACATTTAAAGTAATATTGATAGCTTAAGGACTCACTATTGCTATTTGTTAGTTGTTTTCTGTTTTACAATTCCTTCGTTCCTTTCTTCTTCTTTTTCTGTCTTCTTTTATGATCTTATTTATTTGTTTTTCTTTTGTAGTGGTATGCTTTGATTCCTTGCTATTTAGTTTTTGTGTATCTACTACAGATTTTTTTATAATGAGGCTTACATTAAACATCTTATAGTTACAACAGTCTATTTTAAACTAAATAGCAACTTCATTTCACCCACATACATAAACTCTGTGCTTTAACTCCCCCCTTCACATTTTATATTATTGATGTCACAATTTACATTTTTTTATATTTTGTATCCATCAAGAAATTATTGTATCTATAGTTACTTTTAGTATGTTTGTCTTTTAACTTTTATACTAGTGCTAAAAGTGATTTATAGGCCACCATTAGAGAATTCTGAATTTGACTGTATTTTCACCTTTATAATGAGTTTTTACTTTCATACATTTTCATGTTGTTAGTGTGCATGCTTTCATTTAAACTTGAAAAACTTCCTGTAGCATTTTTTGTAACGCAGATATAGTGGTGATAACTACCCTCAGGCTTTGTTTGTCTGGGAAAGTCTTTATCTCTCCTTCATTTCTGAAGGACAACTTTACTAGGTACAGTAATCTTGGTTGGTAGTTTTTTCATTACTGATTATGTCATACCACTCTTTCCTTACTTCAAGGTTTCTACTGAGAAACCCACTGATAGTTTTATGTGGGTTCCCTTGTTTTTATCTTGAGTTGCTTTTATCTTGCTGCTTTCAAAATTCTTTTTTAACTTTGACTTTTGAAAATTAGATTATAATGTGTCTCAGTTAAGAGCATTTTATATTTACTTTGTTTGGGACTATTTGAGATTCATGGATCTCAATGTTCATTTCCCTCTCCAGATTTGGAAAGTAATCTGTCATTTCATTAAAGAAGCTCTCCACTCCTTTCTCTTCCTCTACTTCTTATGGGATTCTCATAACTTGTATATTGGTTCACCTGCTAGCATCCTATAAGTCCTGTAGTTTTTTTTCCCCATCTTTTTCATTCTTTTTTAATTTTGTTCCTCTCACTGAGTAATTTTAAATGACCTGTATTTGGGCTCACTAATTCTTTCTTCCACTTGATCAAGTCTGCTGTTAAAGATCTCTATGGAATTTTTCAATTCAGTCATTGTGTTCTTCAGTTCTAGAATTTCTGTTTGGTTCTTTTTTAAGGGTTCTTTCTCTTCGTTGAGTCTCATTTTGCCCATGTATTGTTTTCCTTATATTATTTATTTGTCTATCTGTGTTCTTTTGAAGCTCATTGAGCTTCTTTAAGGTGATTATTTTGAATTCTTTGTCATAAAGTTTGTAGATCTTTATTTTTTTAGGATTATTTTCTAGTGCTTTATCTTGTTCCTTTGGTGGTGTTATGTTTCTCTGATTATTCATGATCCCTGTGGCCTTTTATTGGCGTTTGCTCATTTGAAGAACTAGGTATCTCTTCTAGTCTTCCCAGACTAGATTTGGCAATGAAAGCCCTTCACCAGTTATCCCATCCAGAGATTCTGGGCAGGCAGGCTGGTAGAGTCTGAGAGCTTTCTTGCTGTTGGAGTTCTCAGGCTGTTGGAGCAAGTCCTTCTTGCTGTTGGAGTCCTGGGTCAGCAGGCTGGTGGGCCTAGTGCTTGGGTCTACAGGGGCCAGCCAATAATGGGGTAGGCCTGGAGCTTAGTTCTGTGTGAGCAGGTCTGGAGCCTGGATTTTCAGGGGCTGACTGGAGTTTGGGTGTGTGTGTGCTGGCCTGATGTCTGGGGCCATGGGGCCAGCCTGGAGCCTGGGGCCATAGAGGCTGGCCTGGTTTTTAAGTGGGGCTGGAAGCTGGGTCAGCAGAAGCTGGGCAGAACCTGCAGCCAGAGAAGCCAGCCTGGTGCTGAGGTGGGTCTGGAGCCTGGGCCTTCAGGGCTTGCCTAGAGCCTGGATTCACAGAGGCCCGCTTGGCTCTGGGTTTCACTGGTAAGGGCCTGGTACTGGGGTCTGTGATGAAATCAAATGCTCACTTTACTCTCCTTCTGCTGTGCAGAGGGTATCTCTGCATTGCACTATATAGGCTTAGTGGAGGAGTAATGCAGGAAATACGAAATTGTCCTTCCTAATCTCTTCAATGGGTTTTCTTTTTTACTTACATGCTATAATCTATCACCTGATTTTCTTAGCTCTTTCTTTCTTAGGTATTTTAAAGTGTGAATCATTGTTCAAATTGATGTTACTGTGAGAGGAGAAGTTCTGGGAACTCCTAGTTTGCCATCTTACTAATATATATTTTTTAAATCATTAATGGGTATTAAATTTTGTCAAATGTTTTTTCTGCTACTATGGTGATGATCATATCTATTTTTTTAGTCTGTTACTATAGTGAATTACATTAATTAAGTTTTTAATGTAAAACTAACATTCTGTCTCTGGTATAAACCCTACTTGGTCATGACATGTTATCTTTTTATATATTGGTAAAATAAAGTTCCTAAAATTTTGTTAAGGATTTTGACATCAATGATCCTGAGGGGTATACGTCTTGATTTTCTCTTTTTAAATTTCTTTGTCTGGTTTTGATATCAAATTAATGCTGACCTCATAGAATGAGTTAGGAAATGTTCCTTCTTTTCCTATTTTTCCGGAAGAGCTTTTGTTGAATTTACATTATTTCTTCCCTAAATATTTGGTAGAATTCACCAGTGTAACTATCTGAGCCTAGAGCCTTGTTTTTGTTTTTCTGGGGATGTTTTTAACAACAATTTAAATTTCTTTAATAGATGCAAGGCTATATGAGTTATGTATTTCTTCTATTTTTAAATTTCAGAATATTATAGGGGTATAAACATTTTGGTTACATGAATTGCTTTTGTACAGTTTGAGTCAAAGTTATAAATGTGTCTATTACCCAGATAGTGTGCATTGTACACGTTAGGTGTGAATTTACCATCCCCTTCTTTCCCACCTGATTGATTTTCATTGAATTTTACTACCATATGTATTTACTAGTGAGTATATGTGGTGTTTGTTTTTCCATTCTTGTGATACTTCACTTAAGAGGATGGTCTCTAGTTCCATCCAGGTTGTTACAAAAGGTATTAATTCACCATTTTTTGATAGCTGAGAAATATTCCATAGTATATATACACCACACTTTGTTAATCCACTCATGGATTGATGGGCACTTGGGTTATCGCCACATCTTTGTGATTGTGAATTATGCTGCCACACGTAAGTACAAGTGTCTTTTTTATAAAATGTCTTTCTTTCCTTTGGGTAAATACCTAGTAGTGGGATAGCTGGATCAAATGGTAGGTCTACTTCTAGTTCTTTGAGGTATCTCCATACTACTTTCCATAGAGGTTGTACTAGTTTGCAGTCCCACCGAGAGCGTATAAGTGTTCCTTTCTCTCTGCATCCATGCCAGTATCAGTTGTTTCAGGACTTTTTGATAAAAGCCATTCTCACTGAAGTTAGGTGATATCTCATTGTGGTTTTGATTGGCATTTCTCTGATGATTAGAGACATTGAGCATTTTTTCATATGTTTATTGGCCATTAGTCTATCTTCTTTTGAAAACTTCTGTTCATGTCTTTTGCCCACTTTTTAATGGGGTTGCTTGATGTTTTCTTGAATGAGCTTTGGTAGTTTGTGTCTTTCAATAAAATTGATTATTTCATCAAAATTGTTAAATTTATCAGCATATATTCTCATTATAATTTTAATGTCTATAGGATCTGTAGCAACAACCTTTCATTCCTGATACTGGTAATTGTAGTCGTCGTCTTTTCATTTTTGATTAGTCTGGCTAGTAGTTTATCAACTTTATTGATTTTCTCAAAGAACCAGCTTTTGGTTTCATTGATGTTGTCTACTGTTTTTCTATTTTGTATTTCATTGATTTCTGCTCTGATCTTTATTATTTCCTTTCTTCTACTTACTCTGGGTTTCAATTTGCTCTTCTTTTCTAGTTCCTTAAGATGAAATATTAGATAATTGATTTAAAACCTTTCTTCATTTCTAAATAGGCATTTTAATGCTATATATCTACCTCTAAGCACTTCTCTAGCTACATCCCAGACATTTTGATATATTGTATTTTCATTTATTTAAAAAATATTTTCTAGGCCAGGTGCAGTGGCTCATGCTGTAATTCTACCACTTTGGGAGGCTGAGGTGGGAGGATTGCTTGAAGTCAAGAGTTTGAGACCACTGAGCAAGGACAAGACCCCTATCTCTACAAAAAAGGGAAAAATTAGCCAGGCATTGGGGTGGATACCTATAGTTCCAACTACTCAGGAGGCTGAGGCAGAAGAATCACTTGAGCCTCCAAGTTTGAGGTTGCTGTGAGCTATGATGACACCACTGTACTCCAGCCTGGACAACGGAGTAAGACCCCGTCACACACACAAAAATAATAATAATTCTAATTTCCCTCATAATTTTTTCTTTGAATTGCAGGTTTTATAGAAGTGTGTTGTTAAATATCCAAATATTTGAGGATTTTAAATATATCTTTCTGCTACTGATTCCTAATTTAATTCTTCTGTGGTCAAAGAACATAAATTTTATGATTTAAAGCCTTTTAAATGTATAGAAACTTCTTTTGTGGCCCAGAATATGGTCTGTTTTGGTAAAGAATCCATGCACCTGCAAAGAATGTATATTTGCTGCTGTTGAAGACAATGTATTATAAATTTCAATAACTACATTTAGTTGATAAGTTGCCATTTTTATGGGTCCTCACTAATTTTCTTTTTGCTCTATTAGTTATTAAGAGAAGAGTTTTAAAATCTTGAATTGTAATTGTGGATTGGTCCATTTATTGTTATATTTCTGTCAGTTTTTTCTTCATATATTTGAAGGGTGTATCAGGTGCATACATGTTTAGGAATGCTATGTCTTCTTGATAAATTGATTCCTTTATTATTATAAAAAGATTCACTTTATTCTTGGAAAAATTCCCTGATTTGAAATTGACTTTGTTTGATATTAATATCATTACTGCAGCTTTCTTTTTATTAATGTTAGCATGATACATCTTTTTTTCCTTTTCTTTTCAACCTATCCATGTCTTTATATTTGCAGTGGGTTATTTGCAGGCAGTATATGGTTTTTTATCCAATCTAACACTTTATATATTTTAATTAGGGTGTTTAGAAGATCTATACATATAGACACACATATATATATGTAAAATTGGAATAACAATACGGCTTAGTTTAAATCTATCATCTTGCTAATTGTTCTTTATTTTCTCCATTTGTTCTATAATCCCCTTTTCCTCCTGTTCTGTCTTTTTTGTATTAATCAAATATTTTTTATAATCCCATTTTATCTCCACTATTTTCATATTTAGCTCTATCTGTTTGGTTTTCTAAATGATTACTATAGAATTTACAACATCTGTCTTCAATTTATTACAGACTGCTTTCAAATAATATTATGTTACTTTGTATGTGACAAGATTCATACAAAGGTATTCTATTTTCTCCCTCTTGTCCTTTGTGCTACTATTATCATATATTTTACTTCTACTTCTATAATAAACCTCATAATATTATCACTTTAGTCAACTATTTTTAAAAGAAATTTTAAAACTGAGAAAAATATTTTATATTTACCCAGGTATTTACTATTTTTGTTGCTTTTATTTCCCTTGTATAGATACAAATTTTTATCTGGTCTTATTTTCCTTGTGCCTAAAAGACTTTTTAAAAATATTCTTTTCATCAGCAGTATGCTGGTAAACTTGCTCTCTGAAAGATAAAAAGAGCCCTGATTTACAGTTTTTGCTGATTTCCATAATGTAAATCCTCCCACTATGACCAATTTCAGCTACCAACAGTTTAACAACTAGTTTTCAAAATTCCTGAATATTTGACAATCAGTTTAGATGAACTGGTATGAGCCAGCTCAAATACATAATGTTAGTCTGCTGGCAATAAAGTTTCTCAGGCTTCATTTGTCTGAAAAAGTCTTCCCCCACTTTTATGTTTGAAAGATTTATTTCTGGGTATAGAGTAATAGGTTAACAGTTGTTTGTTCCCATACTTTATGGTTATTACTTCATACTTCATTGTCTTTTAGGTTGCCCTGCTTCCAATGAGAAATCTGCTACAATTCTTATTTTTATTCCTCCACTCCTAGTGTGTTTCTCCAAACCCCACCTGTGCCCCCATATCCCTGATTGCTTTAATATTCTCTCTTTATCACTGGTGTTTAGCAGTTTTATTATTGGTGTGATTTATTGTGATTTTCTCCCTGCTTCTTTTGCTTGATTCTAACATAGTCATTTTTTCCCCTGGT